TAATATCATTTTTTTAAACTGGAAAATCATATTGTTTAACAAGACCTATTCGGCGTTTTCACGAACAATTGAGAGAGTAATAGACAAATTTTTCCAAAGAGAAAATTGAAAATCAAGTTGCAGCGGAAAATTCGGATGTTCATACATTGTAAAGAATACTTTCAGCTACATTTTACGTAGAGAGCAGACATGGCCTACCTTATTATTGGAGCAGATTTCAAATTAGAAGAAAGTCAAAACCTACGTGACAGCCTTGTTTTGGATCTCCTTGGAAGCGAGGCCATGTTTCTGGTGTAAGAATTGCATATCTCCACACGAATTTTTCGAAAGGTCGTCGGTACGCGAATCCAGCACGTCTTACCCGGATATTCTCACGTAACCCGAGATATCCTACTTGATGGCGAACCCTAAATGTGTGCATAAGTATACTTGTGGGAAAGAGCACAGTTTTGCAGAAAAATCACCTTTGATCGTCCCAATCTCCAGCTTTTTTCGTTTCATTTGGCTTTATACATCGTACATAATGAGGTGTACATTTCATTAGAGATTCGACAAGTTCATTGGCTTGATTCTAAAAAAAGATATTGTCCAAAAAGTGTGAAAAGCAAACTTAACTCTCACATTATTAAGATGGTCTAGTAATAATAAAAAACAGGAAAAAGAAATACGTCAAAGACCCACCCGAATCTTGGTTGACGCTGTTGTAGGCCGCTTTCCTGCGCCCGTTTGTACGGTCTCCGGAAACAGCGATCGTAGAAAAGCGCTGTAAGGTAACAATTACGATTTTTCATTTCTCAAACTAAAAACAACATCCAGCAAACGAGAATTTTCTTCCTGGTTTACATTGATGTCCAAGCTTTAACGAAAGATAGAATGAAGAGAAAAAAACAAACTTGGAGCTTCCTTGCATAAGCAAAATAAGGTCCGGATAGAGTACGTCACGGTTGCGATCACAAAAGCCGTCCACATTGTAGGCAACCTAAAAAGTGAATGTTTAGTAAGAGCTAGAATACTAACCATGTCCATAATATTGCTTAAAATTACAGGCAGTAAGTATGCGTGGTAAACAAGATGCAAAGTAATAAGGTCGTAATTTTTTGAGGAAACAAAAGTGACAAAAACAAAAAAAGAAGACAAACAAAAGGTACACCAGCTTCAGCCAAGATACCTCTTGGCTACAATCCCTTTTCAAATTTTTACAATTGCTAATCTATACTTCAACTATAGATGTTATAATTAATATATCTGTTTCACTATAAAAACAGCAAAAATAAAATTCTTCCTATCTTCTGAAGTAATAGTTGAGTCTGGCATCAATACATCTTTCTGCCTAGCCTTCAGTTCAAACCCTTTGGTTCACAACTGCAGACAACTTCCGATTTGAATACATGGATTATAAAAACACTATAGGTTTCCTTTACGTAAAAAAAATTCTGTATATGAGAAGATCCAAG